ATTTTCCACCATTAATGGCAAAGCTTTGTGGTAGTACTGTTATTAGTCCTATGTCACTTCATAGCACATAGCCTCCTCCTCTGCCACCACCTCCTCAACCAACCCAACTAATAAAGAACTTGGGTAATTATACAAACTATGGAAGCTTTTCCCCAGATAATCAAAGGCTAAATAATTTAACATTAAATAAGCCCCTCAAACTCTTTTAGTGTAGCAGAACTATGCATTTTATGTGCCAAGGTTAAGAAACATTAAACTGAACTACCATATTCATTCTAATAAACCCTCCCCTCCGCTTTGAAATTCCCCCCTCGAATAAATGCCTCATCCAAAGCCTCATTTGGAATATATGCCTCCTTTAAATAAACTCCCCTGGGCATTTATTTTTTCCTTGGAGGAACGCCCACTAAATGACTGTAAACAAATCTAATGGAAACAACATCATTCTCAATACATTCTATTAGGATCAGTAAGTCTTATGATCACGCAATAACACATTTTGACGGTAATTATGTGTCGTAGTTCCATATTGACAGTGAAATTAAGAGGCATATACTTGAGTATATACATATTAATTTTAGGGCAAATAGAAAAAAAAAGTTAGATTTTATCACTCCCACCTGCATAAAAAATTTGGGAAATATTGATAAATATGGTTTGTTTATGGCATGGGTTATACTAAGATGAAGTATGAGATAATTTTAAAAATATCTTTATTACTAAATATATTTTCAAAAAGCTTGTTAAGTTTATGTTGACATTATAGATATTTTGATTAGATATTAATTTCTTATAGTTAAAATATGCTGATGTTAAAGACAACATAAGAATAATTATTGTCATGTATTATAATTTAGTTGCAGGTGTTAAGTGGGAAAGATTGTTAATGAACGCCTTTAAATTCTTAATTGGAATTCAACATGAATGATCATTATCAAACTTTCTAATTATTCTTTTCAATAATGATTTAAGCAAACTATTAATCTTGTTGATAACAGATATGTACTCAAAAGTGGCAGCTTACCCATAAATCATTTGCATTATGCTGACAATGTTGCATATTAATGATACAGATATAGCGTTCAATTAATTAAGTAAGCTTGTTACACATAAGGACTAACAATTAATATTAGTAAAAACCAAGTATTATTTTAGTCTGTAAGTTAACAAATATATAATTGTTTAAATTTGTGTTCCAGAGGGAGCTGTTTCTGATTGGATCTTGTGTTTTAATTGACCATTTATTTAAAAAATTTGTTTTAGGATTCAGGATAGATTAAGATTGTTTTTTGTGTGGCATCAGATGGGTGTCCCAATTCCTTTACCAACTTTCTTTTTTTTACCTTCCAGAAGGGGGCCTAGGGCCAGCCCATCGCCCCCCCCCCCCAAAAATCTTCCCCTGCAATTGCATGCCGTAACCTGGTGTTTGATTTATCTTGCAGCCCCAGTTCTGCTTACCAAAAATGGCCCACTGGGCACTCACATTTGTCGCCAACCTGGTAGTCAGAATTGAATTGTGAAAAGTTTACATATGAAATGTTATCAGTTTTTAAAAAAGCAGTTGTTGTAGGTTCTTTTTTTATTTGTTATTATTAACGTTCATTATATTATATCCCAGTTGAAAATACCTACAATATATCTGATATATAGCATGCTATATTAAAACCTATATTATTACTAATATTATTATTTGGATCCTATTGAAAACTTAAATTAGAACAAATAATCCAGTGTGTTCTAAATTTAAATATTTAAATTGAAAAAAAGAATTTTTTTCTAATAATAGAAAATAAATGTATTTACGTATGTAGTTACGCTGTATCCACGAGTCAAGGACAAGTAATTTTCATTAGAATTAAATTTATTTTAAATTGAAATGAATAGATTGAACTAAATAGATACTGATATTCCCAAAATGCAACAATTGACATATGAATTGCCACTAAATGGAGCTTAGGGATGGGGTCATAGGTCACATATTAAGCTTGGACACTTAGTTGTGTTAATGGAGATACAATGAAGTGTTTTCTAGCAAATTCCATAGATGTGAAACTCCAAAGGGACTGTGAAGCCTGGTTCGGACTAGCACGTTCAAACGCAAAAGCAAGTTTATTGACGCAAATGCAAACCGCAAATATTTCACTACTTTTCTCATTCCCCCTATCTTGATTAAGTTTAGTTGTATCAAGACTTGCATACATCAGGATTGGACTGGGGACTGGTGTAGATGTGTTTCAGCCAGAGGGGCATGTTTTCACAAGTCTACCGTAAGTCGCGGGAGTCTCCCGCATTCCCACAAGCAAGCAAGAATCTCCCCGGATAATAGCGCATCTCCCACAAATTGCATATTTTTACTACTTTAATATCAATTGCCTCATGGAAGTCGTTGCCGATAGGTTTCTTCATGTGCACCAAAAAACATTTAAATATGCTAAGAAAGCTCATTTAACCAAATCTCCTGGAAGAGATTTCTTCCAACTTCCTGTATATTTGTCAAGTGTGAATCAATCTTTAGCATGCTGTAGTTTCTGTAGGCAGAACAATGTGTAACATTTCTACCACGCTTATCACAACACATATTGCATGAAAGAGTAAGTTTTTATGTTGAATAAAAGGTTTAGAGAATGCATGTCATCCTCCTATACCTGATGATCCCAAGTTCTTTTCTTCTGGTTGGCTGTGACACATGAGAGTATTCAATACATGGTTTAATTTTAATAAGGTTTTATTGTGTAATGCTTGCAGTGATATTTTGTTTGGAATATTCGATTGGATTGGATTTATTCGGTGTAAACACCAAGGATAACCCATGAAAGTGTGAAGAAGACTTATTTCCAGTAGGGTCCTTCTGGTGGTGATTGGGCAGTACACCAGGAGACAATCCCCTACTCTTTTCGGAAAAGTCTACTGCGTTCTTTAATGTGCACGTGGGCCATAATGCACATAGGACCAACAGCTTAAACGTCTCCTCCGAAAGTTGCATTTCAGCCCTCCAGCTGAAATACAAGGAGAGCAGCGATGGGATTAAACCAGGGAACAAGAGGTGTCCACAGTTCAATGAAAACACAGTGGCTACCACCAGTTTAGCCGACTGAGCTAAGCTGCTCTCAAATATCTTTGCCTATTAGCAAATTTTTAATTTCTGACAGATTGTACTGATCAATAATATTAGCACAGGCCTTCACACTGTTCGCTATGGCGAAGGTCAGGGTGAGAGATAAAAATAAAAAATATAAAAGTGATTGCAACTTAATGAATTTTATTTAAAAGAAACTAATTAATCAACACAGTAATCTGGCGTCTCCCTGACCAATAAGCCTATTTTAGGCTGCTGAGATATAAATAGATTAGTTTAGATTTATTTTAGAAAAAGTAGAATAAGAACGACATATTATTATTATTATACATTTATTTTTTTGTACTGTTCTTGGGAAGCCAGATTTGCTGGTGTCACATTGATATTTTCCGCTGTGATACCGACATTATTTGCTAGAATAAAAAGCTCCTGACTGGTTAGAAAGTATAGAAAGCTATCATTAAATTAAAAAAATAAAACATTTTTAATCATGAGTGTTAGATCTGACAACAGCTGTAGTATCAATCTACAGCTATTTCCATCATTGTAAACATTGACTTCAATGAAACATGATATTAAAATTGGATACTGAACAATAATTTGATTGATGTGCTGATACCGAACTAAAAATACCCATTATTCTAAGATATTAAACCAATATGTTATTGCAGAAAAGTTTTCAAATGAATTTTCTTCACTGCATCATACAGTAAGTCATCCATTGTATTATTTGACCACTATGCTAAGCAGATGTTTGAATGAACACAATTCATTAATGAAACAGACATATTCTGTTTTTATTTGTTTAAAAATCGCATATTTATTATAACGTCATCATAAATTCCTAATAGTTTTTAATTAAACAATTATATTGCTTCACTCAGGCTTTTTCGTTTGTGTGTGGCATTTTGTTATCTTAATAAGTGAACTAGTCTGAGTGCAATAATAATCGTTTGCTATACCTGTAGAATATTTTGGCTAATTTCAAGTCATTTAAAATAGATTTCTTATTGCCTCCCAAATAAGGTGCTCAAATTCTATCAGTTTTATTTGGGCTTAAGGAGAAAAGTATACATGATTGTGTATTTTAGATTTTAATTAGTGTGTCTGTGAGTCCAATGTAGTGGTTTTTGATTTGACATTTAACATAATGATATCATGTTAATTTAACTACGCATGTCTGAATGTTGTGTGTTGCGTTCTCTCCTGAATTCCGGAATGGTTGTCGACCAAATCGATGTTCAGGCCAGAATGGAGAACTGTACTGTATTGAATATTGGTGCGTCGGCGTTTGTGACCTATTCATATATGCGTCGTAAAAACTTTAAATTGATTTAAAGTAAAATGTGGAATGCACGTGACGACAATCACGGATGTGTGAATCCGTTTTACTTTCCTGTTATACATTCTCAACCAAAAGCTTCCTATTATATTATAGACAAAGCTTTGTTTTTTTTTTTTTTGTGCATTTACATATTGTAGTTGTTGTTTTTTGGAAGAGCTTGTTTAGGAAGTTGTGTCTCAGAAAGTTGTTTTGCCTACTAGAAATATGTTGCCTAAATTAATTTTTATGAATAGTGGTATCAAATTATTTCTTTGTTTTTTTATTGGGTGAGTTAATTGTGGAGGGGTTGTGTATCATTATTTGCTATTATTCACTTTTAGGCTCTTTCATATTTTTCGGGAACGATGCCTTGGAATTTGATATGTTTGATATTTGTCTGTTGACAAGATGGAGGCAGATGGTTATATTGGTTGATAAAATATAGCAAATGATTTTTTTGTAATATACATACATTCCTACAATGATAATGACAGGGAAATGTATTTTTGTAGGACCTCACATAGGCTAAGTATTTTTATATACAGTAGCTGTACTATTTATTTTATAGAATTTACTAACACTATTATGTTTCTTTTACAGAAAGAAGAAGATTAAGTAATTTTAAGAAACAGTCAAGTCGAGAGGATCAGGGGTCAAGACCAGGGTCACGGTTATCCCAGAAGTCTACCAGTACAGACTCTCAAGACTCCTACATGTTTATGAGTCCGACTCCATCTGAAGGCCAATCAAAAGAAAGCAAGTTGCAAGCAAAGGACAAAAAGTCTAGCAAAGATGGAAAAACATCCACAAAAAGCACACGTCCACCAAGGACCAATGGAACAAGCCAATCCCAAAGTAGGAACAATGTTCTATTGCGGTCAAAGCCTGTAAGTTCGGATAATCCACAGGAAGCTTATGTTAACGTTGATTTTGATTCCCAGACAGAAAAAATTGGTTCTCATTCCATAAAAAGAAACGATAGTGATGCTCGTTCACAGAAGTTTGAAGGTAACACTGGTGCCAAAATTGGACACGGTTCTCTTGCTGTAACCGTGCAGTCTCCTAGTCTAGATGAGAGTGACGTTTATACAATGATGGCACCAGCTACACAGTTGCTTGATAAGAATAACGAAGACGGTGTTAACAAGGTCCGCAGTAGAAACGATCTTTTGAAAATGAAAGAACTTGATAAAAATGAAAATGTACAAATTGAGTATATGAATATTAATTTTGGCGGAAAAAATGAAATTGACTGTAGACTTGGAGAAGGCGGACGTCCGTCTAGTCCCCACACTTTGGATCCTTCTTCAGACTATATGAATGTGGGGTTTCGAACTGTGAAATCACAGAAATCTCCCATCGTACCAGTTTCGCCGATTGTCGATAGCCATACGCTGGACTTAACAGACTGCATTAAAAACATGTCATTCCCTTCCGGAGGGATGCGAAACTTAGTTGAGATGTCGCCTGGAAATGGGAAAACAGCTGAGGGATTAGGTCCCCCCTCACACAATTCATCTCGCCGGTCGAGTCAAACATCGTTGCAAGAGGAACGGGAGCTTAACTACGTCGATGTTGATATAAGCCATAATGATTCAAATCAACCGAGCGATGACCAAAGGTCTCGCTCACCATTTGCGCGTCGTTCTGAAAATGAAAAACCGGATCAGAGCATTACGTATGCATCAATTGATTTCACAAAGTCGGAAGGACTAAGATCAACACAGAACTTAAGGGAAAGCCGATTCTAGGTCAAAAAATTATATTACAGAAACTGAAGAATTTATAGTTATAAAAATGAATTTTATTCTTTTTGTTCCAAATATTTATTAATTAAATATCTGTTCTTAAAAAAAGATTTTCTTGGAGCATAATTTGAAGAATGAATCTGAAGAAATTATTAAGATTGTTTCTCTCATTAATGAATTTAAATTCCAGAGTCTTATTTTATAGTTAAATTTTGATCAGTGAAAAAAAAATGTAATGAATTTACTGTGTATGAATTTATAGGCTTTGGCCTTATAAAGTATTTATTTAATATTATAATTGTTTTTTTTTTCTGATTCACATCCAACAGCAAGTACACTCACCATTTACAAGCTGAAATAATGCTTTATAAACCAAGGGTTTGTATGAAGCTTAGGGGTTGATTTTTTTTTAGTGAGAAACAAATCTCAAAAGAGAGGGTCTGAACCCAGGATCTTGGGATTGGAAAGCAAGCAGCCTAACCACCAAGCTATTTAGCTTCAGTACATTGTTGTTATTATTATTGATATTATTATTTAGTATTACTGTCATCATCAATATTATCATTACTCCTATTAATAACATCATTGTTTTTTTTTATATTTGGTTTCACCTTTGTTTTTACAATATTTTGTAATTAGTGATTATAAATTTTATAATCATCAATATTTTTTATTGACAGTATACATGATGGAACACTTTACCTTGTAAATCTTGATTTTATTCTGAGACTAACCTGTCTTACAAGTTAACCGATTGTTTCGGTTGTCATTATTACCTTTACTTTGTAAAAGCTAATTTATTAGTTTGATATTTTATCCCAAGAAAAGATTTTAACTAAACAAGCCAATGAGTTCATTTCACATTTTTTCCATCATTACATGCACTGCATTGCAGCCAGTAACAGGTTAGATAGCTCAGGGATGTTATATTTTCAACATGTATACAAAGGATGAATACAAGCTCACAGAAACCGTCACATGCTCAAGCCACTTTCAAAATGTGCTACATCAAATCCAACCATGTGACTGAGACACTAACTTACAAAAAGAAAGTTCAACCACTATAAGTATAAATGCTGGATTACCACAGCTATGATGTAGTAGACCTATTAGACCAATTAGAACAGGGCCAAGAATATACGTGTGTCTCATAAACGCACATGAGTTGCGTATGTATTACACTGTCTTGCTGATTGACCTTAGCAACAATATCCAAGGGGCGGGGCTTAGCGGAAAAGGCTGTTGAGCCACCAGGGTGGATCTAGAGGAGTGGCTTAACAGGCTGAGTTCCCCACTAACATTTTCCTCAACACGTATGCTGTTACTACTGTGAAATAATAACATAGTAATTTGGCCAAAATTAAAACTTTTATGTAAGTGGAGCCTGAGGTAGTTATTGATTCTTTTTGGTACTGTCCCTCCCAACAAAAAATCCTTGATTCTCTTTTGGTTACTGAAAGCAAATGACTTCACCAAAAAATTAGTGGAAAGAAAAATATGAAAGACTGTGAAAATTGGGACGTGGGCTGTAGGCAATGAATGAAGGCAATTAAAGAGAATATTAGATTTAATTATCTGATAAGATAATACAAGTTAGATTCCGTACTTAATTAATTCCACATATTACCTTGATAGAATGTGAACGAGTTTGAAATTACCATGATGAAGGATATCATTGATTAAATGTCTGGAGGAAAGTTAATTTTAATAAGTTCTGTATACTTGATTTGATATTTGTTTTCAATGAGAAAAAAAAACCAGTTTATTAAAGTTGATTTCCATACAAATGCTACACTCTATCGCCGAATCTTTCAATGATGCTGATTGGTCAGGACTGCTACGCAGTGCAACAATTGCACTGAAAACACTGTAGCGACAGTGTAGCAATCTTATGAAAACCAGGCTTATTGCATTCGGTAAGAGGTTATATTTATATGGTAAATCTGGGAATGATTTTTAAAGGAATTGTCATTTCTTCATTTTCATCATGTTTGTTTAAAAATTTCGGAAACTCTTCACCAACAAAAAGTTTAATGTTTTCCATGAATAACATTGACATTCAACTTTAGGAATCCTTTGAAAAATGCAATCTTACAAAGAGTTCTTATAAATGTTCTTAGAAATTATTATTAGTTTGCATTTTAATAAAAATTCAATTGGTATGGTCCTTTAAAATGAGCTCTTAAGATAGAGGCAATTCAGCTTAAGGCTAGAATGGTAACTACTACGCAAGGTTCGAACCTTGCAGCATATACAGTATAGAACTTTGTTTTTTATTTTTCTCATTTTTTCTGATCCTGACAGACATTTTCAAACTCTAAAAGTTAAATTTAATTATTGAGTTATTAATATGCAAATAATAATTTACAAATTATTTTTTGATGGACTTATGTCTGATGATTTTCTCCAGTATTTAAATCGGTTCGTCGAGAATTATACCTTTTAATTTACATGTGAATAACTCAACCTTCGTCAGTCTACTGTACGCTCTGCTAAGCCCCGCCCCTTAAAAGTATCGTATCCAATGCTCCACAAAACGGCACCGTGAACGTAAGCGCACGTGTTTGTGGGACATGCGGGTATTCCTTGCCCTGTTCTGATTGGTGAGTTACCAACTTTTATTGACACCCTGGAAGGTCAATTACATCGCCTACTCAAGTTGTGTACATTATGGCCTACTGAGCATGTACGTGCAACCAGAGTTCGTTAAGACTACGTTTACATGTGGGTTTTACATTTTCATTATAAATAAGTTCTCTGAAAGTGTGAAGCAGGTTGAAAATGTTAGACCACTGCCTAGGGTTTTTCGTAAAATCTTTTCAGTATGTAAACATTTGTTTAGTCGGCGTTAGCATTACAGATAAATCATGATCCAGAGAGATTTATTTTAGGCTTACTCACCGCTCATTCAAAGATTATTGTAGATGATGATCACTCTCTCATGTGTAACATAAAATCTAGGCCTACTTAAAAAACAGTGATACAGTCGTGGGGGAATAATTTATATTTTAATATTTAGTGTATTTATATACAGTAAAACATTTTTTGCGACCTGTTCTGATAATGTTAATAGTTTATGATGACATATATTATCAGTGATAAAGCAAACAAATGGATAATGATAATAATACATTAATCATAATAATATATACAATATTTTTGTATTGTATACTACTATTACTATTATTATCATCGTCTTAAATTTAATTATTATTAGTATAATATTAATGTCGGCAAAAACGATATAATAGACCTTTCCGGAGTGTCAATCAAACTTCACAACTGACTAATCAGAACAGCGCTAGGGATACGCGTGCGTCTCACAAACACACGTGTTGTCCCACAAACGCACGTGTTCGCGTATGTTTTAACACTATTGTCTTGTGGGACCTTAGCAACAATATCAAAGGGGCGGGGCTTAGCGGAAAGGTCCATTATTTCAGAGATGAGTATATTTGGTTTACATTATGAATATTAAGTAGCTGCTACGCTATAGACATGGGAGGTGTGAAGCTAGTATACATACATTTGGGACGGGCTCCGGTTATACAAGCCTACGGTATGGGATATGTCGAGCTCGTATGCAGGCAGGGGATTGCAGCAAGTTTAATTGAATTATACTTCCTTAAACAGTTAAATTGAAGTTTATAAAATGAAGTTTATAATGTTGTACATAATTCCAGAGTAATTAAATTTGCTATTGGTCTGCTGAACATGTGTGAACGTATCAATCACCTCCAGCGGGAATGATGTCTGTAATCCCCCTTTTGACCCGGGCACATAGTGTATGTACAGTATTTTGATTTCTGTTGATGATAGAGAATTTTACTTAAAAGGCCATCACCCGTTTGTGATATAGTAATATGTAAATCTCACCTTGTATTTCAAACTCTTCCATGAAATAGAACTTCGCATCATAATGTACGTCCGCTGTTTTGCCTGCCTGGTGGCCGTCGTGTTTAAAAAATAATAGAAATATTACACAAATAAAATGTATGAAAAGTGTGTGTTTAGGCCTATTTGAGGGTTTACCTGTTCTTTTAGGTGTTTGGCCAAGTAACATATCGCTTAGGTCAAGATAGCGTTTTTGTTGAGTTTGAAGTAGGCCTACCTGGAATGGTGTATTCGAAGTGCCATAGGTTATTAAGTTGTGTGTATTGTTTCTCCAAAAAGATTTTTTTTAAATCGAGAAAAGAAATCGAGAATATAAATAATTACCTGCTCCATTCCAAAGAGTTTTTGTTTCTGTGATGTCGTTATAATATATTTAAGTATAGGTTAGGGAAAATAAATTGATGTCATTCAGTGTTAAGGTAAACTGGCAGTTGTTTTTCTTAATGAAATTATGTATTGCGGCGATACAATTTATAGTATAATGGGGGATTTATCTGCAGAAGGGTGTATCATAGAGAGAAAACTTGTGGCTACAACTATAGAGATTACATAAACTGTGATATTATAATGAAATAAGTTCTACATTTCCCAGAAAAATAATAAAATATAAATAATTTCTATTAAATGATTAACTTATTTGGATGATGTGTTGATATGCACTTCTGCAAACATCAGTGTGATTTTTTACCATTGCTATTGTTACTCCGATTCGTACCTTATGTAATTTGAAAGTTTCACAGTATTCGTATACACAGTACATAGGCCTGTGTTTAAATTGTTCTCTTTTGATCCTAGGATAATGCCTATGAAAATTTTCGAACTGTATTATAGACAATTATGTCTTGATCGTGCGTCATTTGAAACCTCAGCGTGTCTACTTAAAATTCTTTATCGAGGTGTGAAAATGTCGTGATTTGTCTGTGTTCATTAATGAGAAATAAAATGATATGTCGAAATTTGGGATGTTGTGCTTCCTTTCTCTAGGCCTAGAGTACTTGATTCCCAGTCGAATGATCCGCCTGAGCAGCTGATCAGGGGCGGATCCAGCCCGGTAAGAAAGAGGGGGAGTGAATATGCGAGCTAAATAAAAGTCTTGGGGAAGAGCCTCTGTTTAGGGGTACAAGGAGCGAATCCCCTATAATCCTCTAGCATCAGTTTGTATTTTATTCATTGTTACTAATTAGGAAGGTAATTTTCTGATATGCTTACCCCTTAGATCCCCATAAATACGTCACTACTGATCATCTATGACCCTCGTTTTACAGCTAAATCTAATTACTGTATTTTGGGGCTTGGAGAGTTTATTTTTGGGGAGGATGATGATGGTGATGGTGGTTGTGACAATGACGATTACGATCACGATGATGATGACGATAATATAATAATAATAATAATAATACATAATAATAATGATGTTAATGATCTCTTTTTATATAAAATAATTCCTAAAAAATATGTACTTTCCAATTACCACCAACCACAATGTATTTTTGAAAAAGTAAACCTACACGAAAGTTTCATGTAGATGTCGTTTTTGAGATATCTGATCGCACCAAAATGTAAACACTCTTTTTTTTAGAATCGAGCGCTTTTTATTGTTTCAGTTGTACACCTGCCAATTCCTGACATGTTCTGGCTAAACTTATTGGCAAGTTTTACACTTATACCGTATTTGACAAACAAAATGCATGCAATATATAGGTGTTGAAACGGAAATATTTTGGAAATATAAATATGGGATTTGGTTTTTAGCGTCACATGTTTAAATATAAAGATGAATTAAAAATATTCTCAATAAGTTCCGAAAACGGTGAAGTTAGTACATATAAAACGCTGTACACATTTACTGTAATTGTACTAATTTAAATATTCATCATATACCTATATTTGTTTCTGCCTACTGTAATACGGTAACAAATTCTTTAAATGGTCCTCATCTCCACACCCTACTTCGGATCGCGACCAAAATTGACACACTTCTTTATTATTAAAACATGAGAAACTGTTTAGCCATTTGTAATTTTTATTCATTGATCATTTTCGAGATATTTGGGACCTTGTGGCCCTAAAATGCACACCCGAATTTGGATCGTCACAAAAATTTAATCACCTCATCCGTGGGTCATACCTAACAATCCCTGTAACTAGCATTTAAATATAGGCCCTATTTGCAGCTGTTTTTGAGATATTTTGTACACAAGAAACACGCAGGACCTTAAAAATTTAAATGACCCTCACGTTCACCCCCCCCCCCCTAATTTGGATCGTGACCAACACATGATAATTTCTTTAACGAAAGTTTCATTCATATCAGTTGATTAGTTTTTGAGATATCTTAGGGCTTAGGTACTTGATTAGATTACGATAATATGATATATTTCTATGGAGCATGTAAAGTTTCAATGAACTGTCTTATGCAGTTCATATTACCCCTGTATGAAATACCTATGGAACAACCCATCCTTAAATATTTCTAATTACTAACAAAGCATTTACAAGTATACCCGAATGTTCATAATGAATATAAAAGTTAATATTTAGCATTTTAAGTAGATAATTTTTGACACGATCATCAAGTCACTAAACTCATTATTTTTTCTTCTAATTTTCAATTTAAAATGTAAAAAGTAAGCAAATAGAAATATTACATTACACGTAAATTGCATTATTTTTTCTTCTAATTTTCAATTTATAGTTAAAAAGTAAGCAATTATACAAATATTTAATTATATTACTATCTCAAAACTGATAGTACAGTTAAGTCCATAGCAAGTAAAAGCAACCAATGGACATAAGTAGTACAAACTC